TACGTAATCTGGGAATATTAAAATCGTGCTCAGATTGTAATTTTTTTTCACCCTGGAAACGATGTTTTTGATACCTTTCCTAGATTAATAAAAGTACTGCTTCATGTTATAATCCCTTCTTTTCTTCTTATTTTTCAATAAGTTTTGATAAAATTTGATTTTTTTTCTTCTAATTTGGAAACTTAATAAACATTGTACCTAACCTGCGTCGTTTACACTGTAGATTTATATCTTCTCAAATTATAATCCGTGTGGTCTCTGTTGTAACTATTTTGTATTTTTGCGTTTTTAAAACCACTGGCTCGTCTGAACCAAACTACTGGAGTTTACTCAAGTGAAAGGACTACAATGAATATTATCTTTTTCACATTTTATAGTTTACAAGCGGTTATTTTAGAGTATCTTTTTTTAAATCTACTTCATCAGAAATGACGAAACCTTTTGAAATAGTCTGTACTGTAGACAAAATTGTTGCACATTTCACACTGGCATTATATACATGTATACTAGTTCAGTTAGTCTTCGGGCTTCCTGGTTATGTCCCTTGATTAACTCTGAAACAGGTAGCTGTGTTTTGCAAGACTGAGATGTTTCAATTTGGATGAATCGAAGCTGAATCTAATATCTTTAATATCCTGGCTAATTTCTTGTATATAGGTAATAAGGAAATGTTAAGACGCTTTGCAGCCTTGGAGGAAAAAAATCTCATCGAAATTTACGATGCCAACTTCCTCCAATAACTGGATTGTCGACATCTATATATTATAAAAGTAAGTGTGTTAAAGAAGTAAATAACAGAAAAAAATATATATATAGTTGTATATATATATATATATATATATATATATATATATATATATATATATATATATATATATATATATATATATATATATATATATATATATAACAAAAAAACTGTTACAAGGTACACATTTATCCGGCTGGATATTTTGTTAATGCGCCACTTTATAGTCATATAATTAAGATCGTTGTGAGAGTGTAACCCTTTACCCCAAACTGATCTGACTAAATTTTGATCATTCTCAAGTCCAGATATGGGGAAAATTTGAAAACGCGTTTTAAGTGTAGAGAAATTCTGGCTACTGTCATATTGTAATTTTTGAATTTACCGGGTGTTAGAAAATACAATTAGAATTACAATATAACAACAGTTGTCATATTGTATTTGTTATGTTTACTAACACCCGGTTAATTCAAGAATTACAATATGACGCTACTAAAAAATAGAAAATCTGACCTCTTCAAAAGAGAGTACTTAGATTCAAGCCAAATGTAAACTGTCTTAAAGTTTTGTAGGGTGTTGGGATAATGAAATACAAGTTACTGTGGAATAGTTAGAAAAAGGTTCTGACGGCTAAGAAACAAATTGACTTCTAAAACTGTATGCTTCAGTATGCAATACAGGTGAACATTAAAGACATGTTTGATGAACGGGATGAAAATTAATTTATTTTAATACACAAGTAACCTGGGTTATTGACAAGGATCTTTTGTATTTCATAGACCCTAGGTTCAAGCTCATATGAAATTTGCACGTACATGCACAACCAGTCAAAGTTAGGATCTAAAATATTCATTTTGCTTTCATTCCTCGTTCGAAATGGCTACCATGAAATGTTTACGATTGCTCAAACAGATTGTAAATTTTGCATGTCTCGCACATTACAGATGGTAATACATCTAGAATGAAATGGCATGTTTAGAAGATTGCACTTCATAACAAGTAGTTCTTGAGGATCAGCGCATATTCTTTGTCAAACTGTTTACAAGGCTTATAAGAACCCCGCGTAAACTCTGGCAGATTTATGAATCGATTAGGAGGGGGTGAGAATTTATAAGATTCGACATTTCTCACATAGGAATTTAAAAAGAAGCTGTATGTCACTGTATGTATATTTTCTACCATAGTATTTAGTAAAATTTATTCACGAAAGTTGATTTGATATAACTTATTATACATGTATAGTACTTATTTCGACATGTACAATGACTTTCCAGGTCAATGACATTATTTAGATTTTTTTGTATTTTTTAAAATTTCTTTTTTCATTGTTCCTTCGATCCAAAAACATCCTAAATTACTGGAACTGTTGAAAAAAAGTACATATATTAATCTTCAATGGTATATCAATATAATCTCACAACTTGAATTTCACACTGAATAATAAGATTGATATATGTTTTTATAAATTACTCTTAAAGGTCAAATTATGTACGGCATATTTGTCTCTATTAATTATACCAGCATTGTAATATCTTGTTTTTGGACATATACTAAATCTAGTAATAGAAATTATGCTTGCATATATTTGGAGTTATTTGGTGTATTTATTTTCCAAATTACTCTATTTGGCGTAATATGTGTTTCGCCTTGTATAAATAGCATGCAATGACGAATCACAATTGTAAGGGAACGATAGGAGTCAGAACAAACACACGTGTACTGTAGACTCGTCAGTTCTTGCAAATATTTGAGATACACTCAATCTTGAAATACTGTTTCTCTTGTTATATTCATGGAGGTCCCGGAAAACATTACGAATACGTCAGCGTGACACTTAAAGAGACAATAAAGTTGTCATAAAAATATCAATATGCATTGGAAGCATATCTTGTAAAAGTGTCAACTGCTGGAGTTTAAATCAATTTCAATTATCCAGATTCAAATATTTGCCATTCAGTTGATAGTTGGTTGTAAATTGCGAATGTATGCACAAATGACAGATATGTAATTTGAAAACAGTTGCACATGCTGTTTTGTAGTGCAACTTAATTAACAATAGCATACAGTTATTTGAAAACAGAAATTCAATGACTGTATCGGGATTCCTATAGAATATTTTTTGCCCGGTAAATGTACCTCGCAATTCGTTGAAGAAAGCGTTGCATTCCTCAATACTTTTCCCACTCATCTCCAGCAATATTTGTCATGTATTCTTTACATCATCCTTTGACACGAAGTCTCGTAACTCCAAGGCCCTCGTGAGATCTCATAAAAAAGGCTCATTTCTGCACTTGGTTGAATTGCAGCATTTGCTTGTTTTGAAATCTGTAATTATTTTACCAGATCAGAGCAAGGTCGTTGTAAAGAGGTTGTGTTGGGTGTAATCACCACCCCCTTAAAAACACGTACTCGAAAATATATTTTTGAAACATTCATTATTCATCTGTTTAAAGTAAAACTACCAGATTTTGTTCATTTAATATGTGAACAAACAAACACCCCCCCCCCCCCAAAAAAAAAAACAAACAAAACACACAAAAAAAACAAACAATCAAACACAGAAAAAAAACAAAAAACAAAAAAAAAAGAACATCAAGATTTTCAAAATGTTTCAACAGTACCATTTATTTGTGTAGAAAATTCTTCAAATAACTTTTCTTTGTTTGATGTTGTATCTTAACTTTGACAGAAGCAATTTCTGTACTATTCTCTGTTGCGTAGATTCAATCGAGGTACTCTACGCGCAGCTTCCGTTTGAAGCTTAGTATATAGGAGGTCATGTGACTTCGTTTAAAAATGGTTCAGAATAGGTGTACTCCTCCTAGACCCCCCCCCCCCTGTACCCCCAGAAATTTGGCGAAGGTCCCGCAATGTATTAGAATACAAGTGCCTTATAAGCACCTATCTGTCCTTTAACGCTTTTATATGACAGTGTATGACCTTTCAACCTAGATTAAGGTTGGGAGTTAAAGGGCGGCAGTTTTAAAGCTTGGGTTCATTTGGTCAAATGAAGGTCATTATTATTGATATAACCACTAAAATTTTATTTGACCGCAGGTTTTTTTTTTGTTTGGATGAGGTTGGGGTGGGGTGGACTTCATTTGAGGAATAAAAGTTTGATCGAAGACACAAAGTCAAGACATTTGGAATTACAATTACACATTTTTGTTGTGCAAAAACTCAGAATTTTGAATAACATTCGGATTATATATAAGTTATATATTCCCATGTACGAAATAGGTGAACCATGATCGAAGATATCTATCGATTTTATGTCCTTTGTTCAAAAAGTCAAGGTCAAAAATATTTGTCCGTAAATACACTCTTGTATGAAAAAAACTATTAATATATTTTATTCAACAGATTTCACATTAACTTCTTAGGTTGAACAAGCATTCTGAGAGTATTGCATTAGCAATACTAGTCCCCTACCGGCAAGTGTAATCTGGTTCCAGTTAAGAATTGAAAATGCCATAATTCCGTCAAAAATTAATGAAGCGGGAGGAAATGCAAACTTGATCTATAACTAATCAAGGTAAAGCCACATACCAAAAATCAGCTCAATATCTACAAGCGTTTAGAAGAAAATTGCGGAAAACCCGTAAAAATTGAAAAGGCCGTAATTCCGTCAAAAATCAATGAAGCGGAACGAAATGCAAACTTGATCTGTAACTCATCAAGATACACTCACATACCAAAAATCAGCTCAATATCTGCAAGCTTTTAAGAAAAAAGTGCGGAAAACCAAGTGGGACAGACTGACAGACAGACGGAGGGACAGACAGACGGACAGACAGACAGACAGACGGACGGACAGACTCAGAGGAAACCTATAGTCCCCTCCGGTTTCACCGGTAGGGGACTAATAATGCTAAAGAGAGAATGAGATTGGGATTTTAAGGTCACCTGGTCAAGGGCCAGGGTAATGTCAAGATACGCCCAATACCAGGCGCTACATGATTTTGTCTCTCTTTTCTAGTTGTTTTAGAGAATTGTTTAGTAGAACTGAATCAAATTGGTGTCGATACTTTGGAGCAACCATCGAAAATTGTATCGAATTTTCTACACACATGAGAAAAGCATATCAAAAATTACACTGTTTGATATATTATTTGGTGCAATGAGATGCATGGGGAAGATTTGATCAAAGAGAGATCACAATGCCTTGCATTCAAACTGCTGACTTTCAATTGCAAACATGTTTCTTCTCGGTCAAATAAACCCGATCTTATAGAAGAGTTTCCTTTTGCAGGTATAGAGGTGGCAGAAGCTGGTGATATTGACTCGAAAGTACATTATCGAAGATAATTGGGACGGTGTATTGATTTTTACGGTAAGAAAGCCATTTAATAAAGTCTTTCTTCTCTTAATTCTAAGATCTGGCGAGTCTTAAATTCCATCAGTCTGTTCGTTCACTACATTTTTTTTATCATAATTCACGTGTAATGGCTATTTCCACAAATCATCTGTTTATTAATTGAAATGCGAAGAAAAACCTGGGAGTATTTTCTTTTTAATTTGGAGTTATTAATAGAATTTTGTTCTTTAACTAAAAAGTAAAAATAATTAAGGACATTGTGTTTTATTTCAAATTACATTAAAGAATAAGATTAGTTGGTTACATGTAAAATTCAGATTTTTTGGGAGGTGGGGTGGGGGTCTGTATTTAAAAAAGAAGAAGGTTTTATAGCGAATTGTTTTCATTGCTTCGTGAAAATAATTCCTCTTAACCTTGAACAAATGTGTTTTTGGTCTTTAAAAAATCGGTGCAAAATTAGATTCACTATTTTTGTCCATGTTTCTAATTTTCAGACCAAAAAACGCAGTATTGAACACGTTCTCATTGCAAGAGAAGAGTAATTAAAAAAGGTTCGCGTCAAAATCGAAATGGATTGATACTGTCACGTAAGCCTTTACTTATTGTGTACAGTAACTTAATACGGGGATGTTAAATTAGAAAGGGTTTTGACATGCACACTATGAGCATTTGTGAATAGAGAAAATTTTGTGAATGAATCTTCATTTTCAAAGTATCGATGGGTGGAAAGCTACATGAAAGTACTAAGTGTCATTGCATGCAGATGCACATTAAACGTTTAATTCAAGACTTTTTTTTTTAAATTTCGCTCTTGCTTTTCTTTCATGAAAATATATACATATATGTATAAACAAAAAATCGGGTCTAACTCGTGAAATTAATTCCATTTCCAACTATAGCTATAGAGAACATTGAATATACATGTACTGTATTGTAAATTAGTTTTCAGTACTGTGAGATATTTTGGCACTGGGAGTTATTTTGACAAGATAGAGCTAAGAAAGTGCTTTTAGTTTTGTAAAACAATGGAAACTTGAAAATAATAGGTATGCATAAATACCCGAAGGTATAGAGAAAAACGCAAACACATTTGTAGAATTATGTGTCCTGATGTCAAATGTACGTATAAATCTGTGGCGCCAGTCTTTAACACGCAAGCTGTTTAAATCGCAAAATTCTCTAACAGACTCAATATTGAGGTCTTAGTAAAATTATGTTTGGAATTATGGTTTATTTTTAATGACATCACAGGTGAGTTATGTTAATACTGAGTGACAGGTTTGATTTGCAGGATCAGACAGAGGAAGACAAATTGTAGCCGTCAGGACACAAGTGTTCTCCACCCCCTCCCTCACCTTCTTTTAAGGTCAGACGACACGTTCCTCAATAATATATATATTTTTTCCCAAGAATTTGTCGTTGAAGTACGGCTACTTTAACAAGTTTACTCACAAAGAATTGAGGTACCTTACCAGGCATTTGTGCAAGATATTAGAGGAGGGTTTTTCCTATATAATCCTATTAGAAATCGCTTGAATTGCCAATATCACATTTTTTGGTGTATTCATTTTCCAAGACATTTTGAAAACAGTTTATAATTCACAAGAGAATGACAATTATGAATAATTTTTCAAACATTACTAAGAGATACAAATTAGATATTTGAGGAACGTGTCGTCAGACCTTAATACTTTTTCTTTTGTTCAGTTATGTTGTCCTGTATTACATTCAACATACGAGTCCTGGAATCGTACAGGGCACAGGCCTTTAGATCGCTTTAACCGAACTGACTAACGGGAGGTATAAAATTTTATTTTTTACCCCCAGTTTGTAAAACGGATTAAAACGATCTAAGGGCCTGCCGTACAGTCTCTGAAATTTACGGACCATTGAACATCCGAATGAAATACACAATATCTTTTTTTACGTCTCTCATGTTTCTGATTTGGAGCAACTCTCTACACAAATGATGCTTAAAATGTGTCCATAATCCTCCAGTGGTTTCTTTACTGTGATATTTTAAACTTTAGAATACAAAATTTGTCTTTTTAAGTACTTGTAATTACTAAATATAAAACTATATGTATCAAATAAAAATTAATGTCAAACAGAGACATTTTATTTCGACTTTTGTCAAGTCTTTGACCGTCAAAAACAGTCCAATTGCTCTTTTAGAATAAGAATTAATGTCTTCTAATAAATTTAACATAAAGCTGTTCTTAAAGCTGAATACATTGAAAAGGGTGTGACACATCACGAACCATTCATTGCTTCATATTGCACACCAATTAGCGATTTTACGCACTATACCCGGTCTGTAAAGACGATGTCGAGATAACACTTATCAAGCATTTGATTTCGATATCCCTTTAACTTTTGAATTCAGTGGTAAACAAATGAATTTGAATTTTATCGGAAGAGTAATTTATTCTGATCATTATTTTTGCAACGGTGAGGACAAGCGAAAAATTGCTTCGTTAACAAACAATAGAATTGGTTTTGTCCTCGAGTAAATAAATGTAGTCTTTACTGTGTAATTATTGATGTTTATCTGCTATAGTATTATCTTAGCAGATCGATAACCAATCACTGATTTTCTGCATCTCTGGGATGTTGTATACCCCCGCCACAAAAGATTTTTATGGACGAAAATCTTTCGCCATTGCCTTTCCATTCTTTCGTCCCACCTTGTTTTTTTTAAAATAATAGATGTTGCAACTGCACAATGCAACACGCGTTATGTTAACAAAAATAAAATTTATAATAAAGCACCAATTTAGGGAGAAAATCAATCGGCAAATATTTGCAAATGGTAATTAACCTGTGTTTCCACGATAGAATCTAAGGTTGCTCTAAGGAATCTGTTTTCTTGTACATTCAAAAATCTTTTGATCACTGATAAAATTATGGCTTAGAAATATAGTGAAAGGAAAGCAAGTTCCCTTTAAAATTTCAACATGCTTTTAGAAGTCAAAATTGGCTAGCTTGAATAAACAGAACCCAAACATCATCAGAGTACATAACAAACAACAATATGTCGTGTTTCACAAGGATTTAAGGTATAATGGGTATCTTACAAACAGATTGCATCAAAAGTTAGATAATGGAAATTATTAAACAATGTGGGATATTAGATCATGGCCACGCGTATGAATTTACACAAACTGCAGCCGTTGCTTCAAAGGTGTCGGATCCTTTGTCCATCACCAGCTTTTACCAATGGTTTTCCTGATAAATATTATAATTTTTCTTAATTTCTTGCTAAATATTTTTAATTTGTAAAAAAAAAAAAATATGAAACGAGATGGGAACCTTTTTTATTGCAAGAAATTTATCGTCTTCAGAATTTTTAGGATATAATTACAAACTATATGTTAAAAGTAGTTGTAGAACGGCTTAATAAAGCTGGTTTGATACAAATATATACAGTATGTACGTGTATGTATATGGCTTTATATTGTACATGTAATAAGCATCAGGATAACTAACAAAGATCTCATACGTCGCATTTAAAAGATGCTTTGAATGCAAATTATCCACACTTAGCACCGTACATGTTTTTCAAAACTTCTTGTTACATTAAAAGGGATGGAACTGTGTCCTTACACAAAATAAGACAGTTAACATTTATAATTAAAGATTTTGATAAATTCATAATAATAAAAACTCATAGACATGCAGCATTTTACATGCAGGAAGACCTTAACCTTTACGGGGTACATGTGTGCATTAAGATATTAGACGATTAAAATTCTAAATGTGTTGTTCTATCCCTAGGTCTTCAGACATTCACACGGTGCATTACTTCTCAGCTGTAATAAGAATACATGGGGGTTTGTTTGGGCTGTAACGTGATTGCTAAATCCCAGTATAATGCCAGGTCATTGTTTTTGGCCGCAAAAGTTAAGTCATATCCTGTGATTTAAAGGTACGATTTTGGCAGGTCTTAATTTAGGGGTTGTTCATCTATCAATATTCCAGATGACACCGCGTCGATACTGTTGTGACACTCATTCAGGTAGCTTAATCATTCTATCTAATCATTTGAATTTCACGACCCAAGGTCCCGAGAGTTAGAATTCTTTTCCACTGCGTAAAGTGTATCAATTATATTTATTTTCAAATGTTAAAGGCTCTGAAATGTTTATTTCCAAGAGGATATTTTGTTAAGAAGAATATGTTAACCTTTTGTTCTTTGCTTTGACTTTCACACCTACATTGTATTCTGTTTTTTTTATGTGGATAAAGGTCATTTTACCCTTTCATAGAGAAAAAGAATTGCACCAGGCACCAAGTCTGCCTTTTGTTAGTTGTACCTAATAATATAGTTTAAAACTAGGACTGAGTATCAATCATTCAAGAGTTATACTCCGACAGCGTTATTTTGCTGTACAGTAGTTCTTAGCTCTATTGGTGAGAGACCAAAAAGCTTTTGCATTAGTAAGGCGTCCGTCGTCCGTCCGTGAACAAATTTTCAAAACGCACCTCTTCTTATTGTTTGTCCAATTTCAATAAGATACACAGGTAGACAAGGTTACGGAGCTACCTAATTCTATTTATCGGTTTTTTATTTCGACAAACGGTGTTGCCTTAGTTTATAGAAATGTCTTTAAAATTCTTTCAAAACGCTACTCCTACTACAGTTTCGGTCTGATTTCAATAAAACTTGGTACATTTGTACACTTCACTAAGATACATAATTCTTTTTATCGGTTTTTGGTTTCGATAAACGGTGTTGCCATGGTTATTACAAATAGAAATATCTGTGTAATTCTTTCAAAATGCTACTCCTCCTACAGTTTAATTCTGATATCAGTACGACTTGGTACAGAAGTAGATTATATTTAGATGAATAATTCTATATAATTATCAATTTTTGAATTCGACAATCGATGTTGCTATGTGTCTCTGTAAATAGATATTTCTGTGAAATTCTTTCAAAACATTATTCATCCTACCGGGTTTAGTCGGATCTCAGGCCTGATACACAAGTATATACTAAGGTATATCTTTCT